AAGGGGTCTTAATCCGAATAAAGCTGCAACACTCAGTTCATTGTGGGCTGTGATTCAATGACCACTGTTTGCTTTGGACTGTATTTTGAAAAGTGTTCACCAGCACATTGGAGAAGCTGTTCATGGGTCTTACTCCAGCTTCATTCTATTGGAGTGAAGAGGACGAGCTGCCGCACCAAAGGCTTGATGAGGGAACTGCAGGTGCACCAGCAATAGAAAGAGAATGTATACTACGGGCTACCCCCACTCTCGTGAGTCTTCATACTAAGGCTCAGCCTCCTTGGCCTTTGTCAGGAGTAGTGTTTCCAGATACTCAAGTCATTTCACTTTGGTTGGGAGAATTATCTAGTTCTGGCCTGTCTATCTCACTAAGGTGCTAACTCAGAATACTAGCCTCTGCTGCACTGGTACCTGAAACACATGTATCATGCGGTGGTGCATCTTCAGAACAGGTGATTTCCTCCAAGCAGTCTTCATCCTCACAGGCTATGTTCAGTCATGTTGATAAAGAGTGTCTGGAAGATGGAAGAAAGGGTAAATATCTAGTCAGTAAGAAAATGTAAATGTCCATATGTAGCACCTTACTGGTTTATAAGTCAAAGTGGCTGAATGTGCAGTTGGTTATATAAATTGAAGTCAATCAGACAGCTCTACGGAGCTGCCAACCTTGCCATCAGCAATGCTGAGAATTTAACTGGGTTCCATTCTTTCAGATATGTCCTCATCTGCCAGGCTCACTCACTTCAGTTAAATCTGGGGGTTCCCTATATCGGTCTTGGTACTGTCCCTTGTGTTCTTCACTCTCTTCTTGTAGTAAGGATGTTTACCTCCTCTGAGTGTAGTGTGTAAAGTGAAAGAGAATCAAACAATGACAGAAGAGTGGACGTCAGGTAGTTATGGACAGTGGCCGCAAGACGCAAACCAACCATCACATTTCCCTACATTGAAACAGAGGCTCCATTGAAAAAAGCAGTAAAACTCTTCAGGATGTCCCAAGGATGGGGAAGTCACCGTAGAAATGCAAGTTCCTTCCTCCAGTGCAAATTGAGGAGGCATGCTGTGTGTGGCACAGACAGGATGAGATTGGGTCATTGGCAGCAGTGAAGGGAAGGAAAGAGGGGGACAATCCCCCTGAGGAAATTGATACAGGGTCAAGACTTAGTGCGAAGGTAGTAGGCCAGAAAATAGAATGAAAGCAAGCAATGGGTAAACAAGGACATGTGCTGACCTTGTCAGGTTATTAAACAAGTTTCTATAATGGATTCAGAACCTTGAATTAGACTAAGCATATAAGCCAGATATTTTCACCATGCAGGTGGAAGTCACATTTACTCCTGTATCATGACACGAAGCTGTATTTAAATTACGTCCAGCTGATTTGCTTCCATGTCGTGCAGTGCTGCAGTCTCGTAGCCCTGAGCCACCCTCGCACGCCATGTTCCCAGTTTCAGGTAAAAATTGGGGCCTCAGTGTTGTCATGGCTCACTTAGAGAATGGCCATTTGGGTCAGGGATGCAAGGGAAACTGTACACAACAAGGAGTTCAGGTTCAGGTTTCCAGGTGAGAGTGGGAGAAAATTTCAACTACCACTTTTATTCCTTGTCTTGGGTTTCACTTTGTAATCCTGTCATGTATCTGCTTTGCTGCATAGAGCAGCATCCATAAGCAAGCATGACTGAGAAGGATTAAAGTTTACAGGAGATTCATTTTTGGTTACAGCGTAATTAATATGATCAATTAATCAGTGAAAAACATTGCCTGCAATATTTTGAGATTAGGTTCATATTGTAAAATTAACAACCCTTCAAAAAGTTATAAATATTTCTTTCAAAACCATGACACTGACATCTGAAACATTAGAAGATACATCACAGCTCTGACACAGTGCAAATCACCTTCTTAAAACAATACTAATGTCCGACTTTGTTCTTGATATCAGGATAGGATAGCATATGTTCATCTTTCCAATTCTGATTTCCTGTCCAAGTCCATCCTTCAAACAAGCTTTCCTGAACTGGGAAGGTAGGTAAGGCATTATCTTCTCCAAATCAACAGGAAATCCATTTACTGTAAGGTGAAACAGTGCCATGTATCAGTTTATGTTCTCTCTGTTGTGAGATGCTCCACTTAAAAGGGAAAAAAATCAGTCTTACTAGCCTAGCCCAAAATAGAAACTCATTTATTAGCAGGCAGCATGACGGCCTATGGGACTAAAGTTACAAAGTATCAAATGGCTTGAAGACCCAGCATGAGGGATTGTCTGGAGCCACATCTGGAGGAAACTGAACAATGCCTTCTTGGGTCAGCCAGCTGTACAGGCTGGTGGAATGTTTTACACTTAGTGGAGCAGATCTTGATTTTGTGCGATAGCAAGTAGGCAGCTCTCCCAGTATTTTATTTCCAATGACATTAAGTTGCCAATTGGTTATCACCATTTTACACGAAACCACAAAGCCACAATTACCAACTGATGTTTTTTATTACCATTTCCAGAAAAATTACAAATTGGAACCTTTGGGAAGACATCTACCATATGCACTTTTTGTGGCATAATACGTACAGGGTGATGCCATTGCACTAACCCTCATTGCAGGACTGCCTTTTATCATTCATAGTACAACCAAAATACTAAATATTTGACAGAGATGTGAAGTGATTGCATTTGAGGAGCAAGTAACTGCATTGGGAAGCCTCCTAGTACCACCTGAACATCTATTGCAGTAGAAACCTGATTTTTATATACTATTTGTTTACATTTAAAAAGTTATTATTTAGTCTAATGTAAAGTGTTCGACATTTAAAATGCTATAGTTCAAATACTGTAATTAGAATATCTTGACCCAGGGCCAAGTCAGTATGTAGCCGCTATCCTTCCTACCATCACAGAACAGACAATAGTTGCAGATTGTTATGGATAATGAGGTGACATCGTTCATGTTTATGTGCATCATTGGTTAAATTTGTTTCTGTAAATTTTCTAACAACTACCCCCTCCAACCCAAACAAAGAGAGTCTTTTACAAATTGATTCTTGGGGTTTGGCTTGATACCTACAAGTCCACATTCATTGACTATTCCCTAGTTGCCCTGAAGGCATTAAGAATTAACCATATCGTCTGAGACTGGAGTCGCAGAATTGTTGTTCTGTCTAGGAACGGAGGCACAGTTTATAGAACCATATGGAGACAGAGCAATAACAGATAGGAAAAGACTTGCTCGTTCGTCTAGCTTGCCCCATATAACTGTGATGTCCTATGCGTCTCTATACAATCCAACTTTCTTTAAAAAATTAAGTGAGTCAGCATTCATTGCTCCAACTGGTAACTTATTCCACAATTTCATTGTCCTCTGGACCAGGGAAGAACTGCCCAAAATTCTCCCCAGATCTGATCTCAGAGTTTGGAAACATTGTCCCTGGGCCTCCCTAACCTGACACGTTGAAATAATTGACCCACATAAACACCATCCAGTTCCATCATGATTCTATATTCAGCAAGCTGCCAGCAAGCAAACAGCAAGCCAAGCAAGCAGGCAATAGCAAGCAAACAGCAAGCCAAGCAAGCAGCAAAAGCCAGCAGCAGCAGCAACGGCAGTATCCAACTATAACAACCAAGCAGCGGGCTCAGAGCGTAGAGGTCTAGTAGGGACAGCAGGAGGAGCACAAGACTTCTGAATTGATTTGGAAACTTAAAGCCTAACTGTATTGTCAACACCCGCAGCCTTGTTGTGGTGTTGCCACCTTTGCTTATGCCCCCAATAATGCCAGCTTAATGGAAATGCTAACTATATTGTTGCCACCACATTGATTTTACAAGACAATCAGTATTACTGGAGCAGGTTGTTGCAGTCTGCTACAGTCACAGTGGTGTTTTTTGATGTGATCCAGACACACTTGGTCTATTTTCATTACCTCCTCTCTGAAAATACTGTCTTTTGTTCGGATACAATGCCATCGAGAGCCCTTGCCCAAGTATGAGCCTAATCAGGAAGTGTTGCCAGCTTATTTCATCACAAGCGCATCAGAGATCAACTCGCTGAAATGTCCACAAATATACATTTATCATAGGACTGTCATCAGGAAAAGCAGTTCTGTTTAATTTCCTAACACAGGAATTCTAAGACTCATTATCATGCATGGGCTATTGAAAGACTGGCACAGACCAGGCATCAAGCTTAGGTCTGTCTCATTTTGTATTACTGAGCAGATGCATAAAGTAGTTATAAATAAAACACGCAATCGTAGGATACTTTATTGAATAAACCACACAGTATACCTTTAAGTAATGTCCTAAAATCAAGATCTAAATAAGGAAAATAATGAGTTCCAATCTAATTAATGAGTACAAAGTTCTGTTTGCAGTTATTTGCTCCTGCGGTATTTTAGACAAATGATATATTTTTTCATGTGATGCTCAATGAAGGTTTCTGAATGCAGTTTAATTTTATTCCCTCCTTTCATGAAATAGCAATAAATGGTCAGCTTTAAATGGGCTGTGAACTGACACACAGGGCCCCTGATGGTCATCTGGGTAGAGGCACTGCACAACATTGATCGAAGCCAAATGGACGCAAAGGTTCTCGGTTGAATCAGCAGTCTGTGTTGAATTAGCTGATCTCAACCAGGCAGCAAGAGGACCAAGGAACAGCTGGGTGAAGGACAAGACCAAGAAAAAATAATCTCCTGGTCAATCGCCAGTAAATTATGCTGGAATTGCACAGATTCAGTTGTTGGACAAGAACAGGATCAGTGTGGACTATGATGCTGCTATGTTGAATAGCCTCCTACCGTTGTGGCTAGGATTTCCTGATTCTGTCCTCGCCAACCCACAATTTTCTGCCATTCACTTGAAGAGGTGGGAAACTACAAGTTGGCAAACTCAGAAACAGAAAGCCTGATAATTCTGTGCATGTGTTTTTGGGCAAATTCCCATCCCACCAAGATGAATACCCAGGAGTGATTCTAACATCACTTGTTGTTCAATGTCAGAACTTCAAGGTGAAACTATAGCTTTGAAACTGTTTCTTCCTATCCACAATTTTCCTGACCTATAGTGTGAAATTCCTGAGGTGATTCTACGCTGCTTATTAATATAGGGTATTAATATTTGAGATATTTTATAATTTTAATAAATGCAGTCGTTAAAATAAAGTTAAGATTTGACCAAGCCTCTGTTACTGCAGTGGCAGGAATGAGGCATGAGATTTTGATACTAAATTGCTATGGAGGAGCTACAGAACCTTTTCTTGGATGCATGTAGTTTTCAGATATATTTATAGATACATTTGGTGAGTTATAAGTCATTTCAGGTGTTTTCAGGGTTTATTGCTGAAAGTATTTCCAAAGTAAATCAACTGGAAGATTTGAGGCAAAAAAAGAGTTGTATTGATATAGCACTTTTCACAACCTCCAAACATCTCCAAGTCTGGGTGGCACAAGTGGTTAGCACTGTTGCCTGGAACTTGGGTTTGATTCCATCCCCGGGTGACCGTGTGTGGAGTTTGCACATTCTCCCTGTGTCTGTGTGGGTTTCCTCTAGGTGCTCTCGTTTCCTCCCACAGCACCAAAGATGTGCAGGTTATGGATTAGCCATGCTAAATTGTCCATAGTGTTCAGGGATGCGCAGGCTAGGTGGGTTAGCCATGGGAAACGCAGGGTTACAGGAATGGATGGATGGATGGATGGTGGGGGCGGGGGGGATGCTGTTTGGAGGGTTGTTATGGGCCACATGGCCTGCTTCTGCACTGTAGGGATTCTGTGATAACTTCCTTGCAGCTAATGATGTTGTGAAGGTTTTAACTAGTGCATATTCTAATTATTCTGTCATGCAAAAGAATGGTAGCTGTCTGTTGACAAGGGTGTGGGAGGAGTGCAGTACAGAGTGCAGATTGTACTCAACACACTGTGTAGGGGATTGTAGATGCTGTAACCTGCTTGTTACATAGGGACCAGGGGCAGCAGTTAGCATATCAGCAGAGGTTGGAAAGTACATTGTGCAGGGACACAACCTGTGGTGAGAATGTTGTGGAAGGAATTTGATCAGTGGGCCAGAAGTTTGGCTTTGGCTGTTAGCAGTGTGTGAGGTAAGATGGCTTGAGACGTAGAACCAGCTACTGACTTCCAATCATCCGTTTTACTATAGAACAAAGTCAGGATCAGCACATGAGTTCGCCTATGATGCCTTCCAACTCCTTGTATAGGCACACACACTTTGGACAAGGCACCAGAGGGAGTGGCTTTGTTCAGGCCTCAAGATGGACTACTGCAAGTCCACTTTGATTTTAAATGCCCAGAGAAAAACATCATTGGGGATATAAGAGGTGTGGTGAGTGTGATGTGAAACAAAAACTGTGAGTACAGTTGCCTTTTCCTGCTAAGTGATTGATGCATTAATAGCTGTTGGGAAAGTGTGGTCAGTAACTTAATAAAGGGAGCATAATGTTTTGAGTTGTGTACAACTGGAAAAGATTGAGGAAGATAACATGAGGAAATGAGAACTGTCACATAAAGCCTACAAAAATATAATTTCCTTAAACAACAGGGTGGAGAAGATAGTAAAAGTTTCTTATTGTTGGTTTCAAGTGAGCACCTATTTATGCTCATGAGATCTCATTCTTAGAGGTGGCGTAAGTAATCAGTAGCAAAACAATGATTGAACGTATGCATTAATTACTAATGAACTATAGTTAGTAGTTACATTTCATATGTCTATTCTATTTATACTGCAAGTATAAAAAAAACTTTTCGAAGCAGAAACTCGTTTGTTTTTAATGTTTTTTCATTTGCGTTTTGGAAGGATTTGTCAAAATCTGGTAAACTTCTGTTCTGATTTTAAAAAAAACAGAAATTTTGCTGTAAATCCTCATTTAGGCCTCCACCTTTGAAGGAGAGTGAAACGACAATTTAGATTGACTTACTTCGGGCAGAGTCCTGAATTTGAGGTGAACTGCTCTAACAGGTATTGGGAGCTTGATTGTCCAACTTCAAGAAAGCTGTATAAGTACCTAGAGAAAACAAATAACAAGTTGTGGATATGAGAATTGTGGTGGGATATGATCATTTCTAAATACAGAGAACAACCAGATTGGCTTTTTTCTAATCCCGTACAAAAAATATGGAGCAAAATATTGATTCTGTGGATTACCTGGATAGATGATACTGCATCATAATCTTCATCTGTCAATTCCAAAAATCCCTGAAAAAGCAGGTTAAGAAATCTGGTAAATTGTTTTAACATCTGTGTGTCTACGTGTATACGCACAGAGACATGTAACATGACAAACACAGCGGAGTTTCTTCACACATTGTAAACTCCATGATTTTAATGTTCTTTCTGTCTTTGTTGTTGATACTAATTAGTTCCTCCAAAACATTTTGATTCCTTTCATCAGTTGTGGAAGATTTCTGAAATAATTAAAATATATGATTTGCAGTGAAACCTGTCGTTATTAGTGGAAAGAATACCACAGCTTTCTCAAATATGCTGCAAAAGAACTACATTTATATTTTCAGTAAGAAAGAACTGAACCTTTATAAAGTGTTGATTGTGCTAAGGGAAATCTCTTTGAACAAGAAGTTGGCAGCCATGGAGCATCAGTTTCACAGAGACAAACACTCCAGAGATATACAATGTAACTCTAACTTGCTGCAAATCCCATCCTGTAAACTACAGGAGTTTTTTTTTTAAGAGCTGTGAAACTACCTGCATCCAAGTCTGACTGGCATGAACCTCTGATGGTAATTTCCTTCAGATTTCAGTTCAAATTCCAGATGATCATATTTCACCACAGCCATATTAACCTGACTGAATGCAATCTCTAATGTGTTGAAATTACGGAGCAATGAAATTTGTAAAATGACATTGTTTTTTTAAAAACCTGCTGCTCAGTATTCTGAACAACTCAAATAAAGCAATGCAGTCATCAGCATTCAGTTCACCGTATTGAAAACTGGCGTCTTTGATTTGCTTCACCATCCCACTCCATTTTTGTATTTACTGAAAATTGTAAGTAGTTTAAAATATACTAGAGATAAGATGAAATGGATGATTATTTTTTAAAAGTGACTCCCTGACATGAAAGGGTGCAATAAGTTCATGATCTCTTAATGATTAATTGTAGTGTTTTTTTCTTTGTCGCTGAGTTTAAATTCTAAAGATTGTAATTAGTAGTCAAAGAAATCAGTAACGGAAAAGTTCCCCAGGTCTGCAAGCAATATATAATTGTGAATAATGGTCTGTTACTAATTATTTGTGGATAGAAGCTGAAAGAATAATAAAGCATTATTTTAAGACTACAGAACAAAACATTTGTGTTGTGTTAACTTACTGCATTGAACTAGATTACCCTTCATTTGTTAAACTCCATTTACCCTGGTTATTTGTGGGCTATTTGATAAATGGATATCTTTCCCTTTTGAGAACTTCTGTCAAGAACCAGCTATCTGTTTGCAGTTCTTTGATCCATCTAATGTCAATTGTTTTCAAACCCAGAGCACATAATCACCTCATGCAATGCAGCAGTTCCCATTATAACTAGTCAGCTTTGAGATTTGGGGTTGATGACCCAGGAGACATGTTGCTCTTGTTATGGACCAGACCAGACCCCCACAAATTATTTTAAGAAGGTAACCTAGACCCCAAGTTATTATTTTAAAAGGTAGGTGCTCCAGATATGATGCAATTGGTCAAACTACTTGACGTTAAGCAAGACACAATTTATTTAAACACTATAGTTAAAATATAAACAAAAGGAAGAGGAATTTAGAATAACAACTATTGGAAAACTTAAGTGAATAATAGATATAGTACCTTGGGGAGGCGATGGCCTAGTGGTATTATTGCTGGACTGGCCTACATGTGACTCCAGACTCACAGCAATGTGGTTGACTCTGAACTGCCCTCTGAACAATTAGGGATAGGCAATAAATGCTGTCTGGCCAATGATGCCCTTATCCCGTGAATGAATAAAGGAAAAAAATTACTAATTAATTGTTCCAATATAGTAACATCCCATAAACACATCCTTGGCAAAAAGTCAAATTCAGACAGAGATTCTTACATGCAGTTCTCCAATCCAGGAGGAAAAAAATCAAGAAATTTCAGAGCAAGTTGTAGCTAGGAATCATTTACTGAAACTTCTAAGTCTTCTGGGACCCCAAACACCTTCTGCCTGCTACAGCTAAAAACAACTGGGAAGCCTGGTCTGTGAGAGCTGGCCGCTCCCCTTCTATTGTTCCAACTGTTTTTAAAAAAAACCTAAAGGCCTCCTTAGATATTTACTTAAGCTATCCTCATTAGCCAGTTTGACACCTCTGCCATTACAACCTCTCTTCAAAAAAGCCCAGGACAAAATAACCTTTTTACAGTGACAGCATCATCACACAATGTGGTACATGACCTTGTTTTTATAACGATAGAACTCCCTCAGTTGTGAGCTATATTCTCCATTCTCCTGCTGTCTGTGGCTGGAGCAATAGGATGAAATGAACTGCTTAGAAATCCACAAGAGGAGCTTGGGATTGTTGTACGTCTAGTTTTCGCTTTCTCTAGAAAAGCAGCTGGATTATGTTTGATTTCTCTCCATGTATTCCCATCTTTTTTTTCTTGTTGAAGATTGAATATAACATAAATCACTATTTCCTTTGCAAAGCACTGTACCCAAAATACAAGTTTAACAGCTCTACACAAGCACCAAATTCAAAAGTAAATCAAATTATTAATGTGGAAATTCCCAGCATATATTCCCCCTTTGGTTCCTCCTTCAGGTCTTAAAGCATTTATTGGCTGAAAAGCCAGTCAATCTTCTGTTCCCAGATCGCTAAAATATTGGTCTGCAGCTAGCCATCTGTGGGTAAACTCCTTACCATTCAGCAGTTCTGCACACTTTGAATCTGAAATAAATGCATTGAGTCTCCTATATTGATACCAGATGGCCACCAGGTTCATTCAACTATAGAATGCTTATCTGAAAATGTACAGAAATAATTTGCAACTGTCCAATTAAAACAGGGCCTTAATGAATAATTGCACCAAGGACTAACCTATAGAGACTTGCACTGAATTAGTCTAGTGCAAGGTTGTACGCAGTAGCAGAGTGTGAGCCAGTTACCACTGATGCTGAGGCTAGGGATGGCATCATTTTAAAAACTTGTCCCAAGATGCCAAAAAAATCTCTCGAGTGTTACTTGTCAACATTTCACATAAAATGTATTGCAATCTAATGTTAAGCTATCATTGTGAAATACTTTTAAATACAATGTATTTTCTTGTATACCTTACCATTGTCGGAGCTGGTAGCAGCACACACCCTTTGAGAATGCCAGACTCCCAAGATGCAAATTCAAATAGAATCATACAGCACAGAAACAGACCCTTCAGCCCAACTTGTCCATGCTGACCAGCTTTCCCAAACTAAACTAGTTCCATTTGCCTGTGCTTGGCCCATATTCCTCTAAACCTTTCATGTACCTGTCCAAATGTCTTTTCAATGTTGTAACTGTACTTGCACCTACCACTTCCTCTGGCAGTCATTCCACCCATGAACCACCCTCTACGTGAACAATTTTCCCCTAAGATCCCTTTTAAATCTTTCTCCTCTCACCTTAAAATTATGCCCTCTAGTTTTGAAGTCCCCTACCCTAGGGAAAAGATGTTTGCTATTCACCTTATCCATGTCCCTCATGATTTTATAAAGCTCAATAAAATTACCCTGCAACCTTGCAAGCTCCAGGGAAAGATGTCCCAGCCTCCAGCTTCTCCTATAACTCAAACCCTCCAGTCTTGGTAACATGCTTGTAAATCTTTTCTGCACCCTCTCCAACTTAATAATATCCTTCCTGCAGCAGAGCGACCAGAACTGTACACACTGCTCCAAAATATCTATCACTTCTTGGCCCATTGGCCCAGTTGATCAAGATCCCATTGTACTCTTCGATAACCACCGTCATTGTCCACTATGCTACTAATTTTGGTCATTGAGAGCAACCATTAAATTTTGCCAGATTAAAAAACACATTTGAAAATAACTATCTACTGTACATATAACAGGCAAACAATGCTGCCTACAGTATATTTGTTTGAAAGAAGATTGGCTCCTTCCTCTGACTTTTCAGAGCATTGAACAAAACTTGCAACATTATTGTCGAGAACAGTTTGGGGGAAGATTCTGGTTGCAGTTTATTCTTCGATTCCTTTGAATTAATCAGACTACCACCAAGCCACAATGACATTGAAATAAGCTTCATTTTTGCTGCAAGAACATCACCAGCCACCAATCCTGAGCTCCTCAGCAGCAATATGAAAAGCAAGCAAAACAGGCAAAACCATTAAGAATGAGCACGTTCGTAAGGTTCAGTTCAGAATTTAACCCCACACAGAGATTGTAACAACAATGCAATGGTCATACAGTATGTAATATATCTAGATAAAGCAAAGCAAGAAATCCCATTGTTGGTTTAGTATCCCATTCAGAATTTGATTTACTGCTGATTGCAATTCTCAGTTCCAAGTGGGGGATAACATTGTCTTTTTCAAATGCATGCTCAACACCCCAACACAAGGCTGCCAGTATAATTTTCTGCCATGTATTTGGGGCAGGAACCTCTGATGTTAATTTCTAGGTGTAAGTTACCCACCCAAATGATTCAAACAAGCTCACCCCTAGGAAAGGGGCAGATGGTGTTCTCAGCTGATGCTGGTAGTCACCCTGCTATAATTCCAATGCCTCATTGGAGCTCCAATAATGTTTTTCACCTACATTGAGAAAGACATGAAGGCAGGAGCACATTAAGCACACCTCTATGAATTTGAATGCCACTAAAACTCTGGTGCATGTATCCTGACTTACATCAAGTCCCATTCTCTCATTATCACTACCTGTTCTGACTCACATTGGCTCCCAATCCGGGTGATGCCTCGATTTTATCATTCCCATCCTTGCTTTCAGAAAACCCACCATCTCTCCTCCCTATCCCTGGAATTTCTTCCATCTCCAGGACCTCTTAAATTCCTTGAATTCCAGCCTCTTGTATATTAACAATTTTCATCACGAGCCTAAACTCTGGAACTCCCTACACCCCACCACTATCACCTCCTTCTTTAAGACACTCTTAAGACCTACCTTCTTGACTAATTTTTGGTCATCTCAAGTGACTTGGCATCAAATTTTATTTAATGATTGCTTGTGAAACACCTTTGACCGCATTATATGGTATA